TTTAAACATTTGAAGTAAAGATTTTATTCGAAATGTGGTCCGCTTGGCGGTTGGCTTATTAAGGGGTCGAAAAGCTTTATTTGAACTGGACGGAAAGGAGTCAAACGACCCTGGGAACGCATTAACCAACCAGGACACGTACAAAGGAAACCCAGTAGCGATCCTTAATCCAGGCGGATACTTAATAGAACCACTTCCGTCATACTCCCATTACCGTTACATTTAGCCGAGTGGGAATTGATGAACTGCTGTCAGCCATTTAGTAATTGCTGATCGTCAACAAGCCAGGCTCAGGCAGCTGTCAGCATTTAAGGCTCAACCTGTTTCAACCTAGTGTACCTGACGAAAAACTCAATTTTAATTATTTTTTTCTAAATCTAGAAATCAACGGTTGATTAATTAAACCCCCTCCTCGACAAACAAACCGTTGAATAATCGAATATTGAACAAAAGTTTTCATTTTGTTAGACAGTTGTAAATTGGAATGTAACAAGCCCGTGCTTGAATAATAATATTAACAATGAGAATTACTCAAAAGGCATTATTAATTGCATTTATTCACACAGAATAAACGGAGCATAAGTTATGCTAATGGTCATGACTTTTGTGCCCTGCGGGCTTAGACGATCCGTTCATTTCTATTCCGGCGATCTAGTTTTAAACAATTATAATCGTTAGCAATCTATCAAAAGAAATACTCTAGCCATTAAATTTAAAAAAACAATTGAAACAAAAATGTGTCGCAATACCGAAAAATTTTCGGCCTGCAAAAGACAAAAGTAAACTTGGCAAAACGTCTTGTACTTAGTTTAATCATTGAAAGATCAATTCAACAAAGAAAAATGAAAGTTTGAAAGTAATTAACAAATATTGAATAAATGATAAGACACATTGACCCACGGGCACCTGCTTTTGGGCCAACGCCCCTTATGCAGAGAAAGGTTGCTCGTTGTGCCTCACATAATAGAGGTGTGTTTGGCTCCATACAGAGAGCGTGTAGGCATGCTGCCGGATTTAATAAGAGTTCTCTGACACGGTAGCGAGTTTCAGGGTCTCTTGTTTCGCTTTTTAGCAGAATAGGGAATTTTTTATTGTATATATCCTTCAAAATATGTGTTTTGTTTTTCTGTGTCTTGTATGAGTAAATGTATTTATCGGTATGAACGGGGAGGGGCTGATGGCGAATTAGTTTCTCCATCGCCTCTCAGGTTGTGTGTATGATTTTGGCTGAAGGCGGAAATTTTATAAAAATTCCCCCATCGACCCCAATTTAGATTAGTTTATTATACGATACCACTCTAATGGCAGACTGTGAAGAGGACCTAAAGAGCCTCTTAAAAGGGTTAAGAGAAGATCGCAAAAGTGGGCTTTAAGATCAACATAAAAAAAACTAAGATCATGGCAACCGGTCCCATCGCTCCTTGGCAAATAGAGGGGGAAGTGGAAGTAGTGACATAATTCACGTTCCTGGGATCCCAGATCACCGCAGACTGTGGCAGCAGCCATGAAGTTAAAAGAAAAAACTAGAGACATCTCCGTGCCAACGAAAGTCCGCAATGGCTTTCCCAGCAGTCATGTATGGCTGCGGGAGTTGGACTATAAGGAAGGCCGAGCTCCGAAGAATAGATTTTTTTGAACTATTGTGCTGGATAACACTCTTGAGAGTACCTTGGAATGCAAGAAGATCAAAATAGTCAATCCTAAAAGAAATCGACCCTGACTGTTCCCTGGAAGGCCAGATAATGAAATTGAAGCTCAAATACTTTGGCCACCAAATGAGAATGGAGCACTCACTGGAGAAGACCCTGATGCTGGGAAAGATTGACGGTCAAAGAAGACGGGGACGGCAAAGGATGAATTGTATTTTTGGGTTTTGTATGAGTAAGTGTATTTATTAGAGTGAATGGGGAGGGGCTGATGGCGAAGTAGCATCTCCATCGCCCCTCTGCGTGCGTGACTTGGGTCTACGGCGGAAAACTTTTAAAGTACCCCATCGCCAAATTAGATTAGTTTATTGTTGTGAACAGGTAGATGGATGAATATCGAGTACTCCGTCTACCAAGTATGAGTGCGAACAATGTACATAGTCCTGCCATAAGTTCTGTTATAATCATTCACCTTGAAAATAATCCCAAACAAACGCCTGGCCAACCTTGCTGTCTTGCCTATTGTTTACCTTTGATATAATGCTAAATTCTTTTACTCAGTTGTTATTGAGAATTAATAACGTCAAGATGGAACGCACCCTTGAACAAAACCGTCATGCCATCATCGCACTGCACAAGGCAGGTAAATCAAAATCAGAGATTTTCAAGACGCTGAAATCGTTAGGAATAAATCGAATGTTTGTGTGGCGCACCATAAATAGCTTCAAAGATACTCTATCTATTAAAGACAAACCAAGGTCCGGCCGTCCTCGCTCTGTGAGGGTGAAAAATGCCATCAAAGCGGTTGAAAACCGAATTCGAAGAAAGTGTGAGCAAGGGCGAAAAATTACCAAGAAGACATCCTTGAGAAAGTAGTAAAGCCCTTAAGTACTACTCTTTTTACCGGAACTCATTGGGTCTTCCAACAGGTCTCACCTCCTGCGCACAAGGCCCGAACAACTCAGCAGTGGCTGGAGAAGAATGTTCCGAAATTCATTAAGGATTCATTAAGGATTGGCCCTCGGGAAGCCCAGATTTGAATCCTCTGGACTAAAAGGTGTGGTCCCATCTTGAGCTTATGGCTTGCCACAGGAAACACGCCAATTTAGAGAGCCTCAAGTCCGCTCTGCTAAAAGCAGTTGAGAAATTTCCTCAAGACGTGTTGCGTACTGCCATAGATAATTGGCCCCGAATACTAAAAGCTTGTTTGAAGGCAAAAGGTGGTCATTTCGACTAATATTATTTTATTTCAATCTTAAAAAATATTGGATTTTTTTAAATAAATTTCTTTTTCATATTATCAAGTTTCTCTATTCCCTAATGGCCCTTTTTCTTGTAACAGAACTTATGGCAGGACTAGATAGGAATGAATGTATTAATTGGTGTGATTGTGCATAGAGAGTGTAGGGGTACTTTGTTAGTACTTCGGGCTGAAATGACCAAGCTGTCGGATGCCCCTTTCAAAAAAAAAGACACAAGCGAGAAATCAATCAATCTTTTTTTCCTCGGCCACCCCATGCAATAAAGCTCCCCTTTCTCTCAGTTTAACAATTATTTAACCTGTATTTATTGTGACTGTCGTCGCCTTTTTGTCCTTAATGGTTAAATCCACTTAAGGGGGCGTAAAAGCGAGACGCATTTGATCAAGATGTAACCCGGTTGTACCAAGTGAACGAGCGAATTGTTGACTAGAACGCGTGAAAACAATACAACCGTCAATCTAATGTTATTTATTCCCAAGTTACACGCTCATAAATAAGACAAATATTTACTCCTGGTCGCTTAGAAATATTTCGTTGGGAATTATAATTCATAAACTTTCTCCAACGTGTTACTTCCTTCTTACTTGTGTTTCCTGAGTTTGCCAACATTTATTGACATTACGTAGTTAAGCCCTTTGAATTGATCAATTAAAATATAATTCCCGGTAATTAAAACGTAATAACTCGATTTGATTACAGATAAATATCTCATAATGCCATAACGATCTAATACTAATACGATTAATGAAAAATTCGTTTTTGTTTTATTTTGTGTATTTATTTTTGACGTGATTGTGCAAATGAGTGTACGTATGCGTATACATTATTTTCAAGAAAATTGCTAATAAAATCGTTAATGTAGGTTGAGATTGAGACTGGTGTCTGGGAGGATCGAAGTCACGATAGCTCAAGTGGTAAAGCAGCGGCGTATTTAGCCGAAGGTCGTGGGTTCGAATCCCGCTCGTGACACTGACATTTTTAACTCAACCAAGACCTTACATAAAAGGACTAAAACGAATTATTGAAAGAATTAACTTGGTCAATTGACCATTAAAACATAAATTGATTAAAATCGATAATGTTGAACCTGCACTGGGTCCGTGTACACTCGAGGATTTTTGATATTGGTCGAACGCGTTTCGGCTTTGAGCCATCATCAGTGAAGAACTCGGATCTCAGAGTGTTGACGGACACAAGTGACCCAGTACCGGTTCAACGTGTTCACTGACTCGCAGACAAGCACACATAAATTCGTTAATATTGATCGTTTCTTATATTTTTAGTGTATTTATTCTCGTTTATGCGTGTTTCCATGATATGACTCTTTTTCATGATGAAAATTCCTAATTAGTCAAAAAATTACTAGTATTTTTGTTATTTATGTTTTTTATGAGTATACGGTGTGTGTCTGAGTTCCTGTGGTTATACGTGTATGTGTAAAGTATGTGTTACTTATGTATCTATTCCATAAAAATCGTAACCAAATCACAATTTTTTTCAAATTTTGTTAGTTGAACAGGATAAATGTTTGTGCTTATTACTGTACCTTTTAAGTATTGAATTTTCTTTTTTAATCAAATTCGTTATGTTTTATCCCAAATGATGTTACGTACTCGTGTATGTGTTTCATGTATTGTTTTAAATGAAAAAAAAATTAAATGCTGACGTAGTTCGTTTTGAATTAATCCATGTGCTGCTAACATTTTGTGCCATAATAAAAAAAAGCGATAGTTTTCAATTCCTTTATATATTATCACAATTGCAACTAGGTGATGATGTTTTTTAATAAATAATGAAAAAATCAATAAAATTTGTAATTATAGTTATGAGTTTGTGTCTTGATAAGATCTATTATATAGACTAATATAAATACTGCCCCCAATAATACACTTTGTAAATGTTATTAAGTAAGCTATTATTTGTTCGATAATGAAAGAATATAGCTCAATATCAGCTTGATTTTATATAGAAAGTTTATAAACAGGGAACAATCCCGAGTAATGAGATGTGGACGGTTAAAATTTTATTGAAGGCCAATAAAATAGTAAGAGGGAACGTACGATTAATAATAGACAAATAATTACGAACTTACCCCAGGTATTCGCGAGAATTAATACTCTCCCAAGACATGGCGACACCCCCGAACACAGAGCCTACACTGACTGGAATCCGAAATCCCACCCCTCACAGGGAAGAAGGGTGCGGCAGCCTCCACCCCCGCCGCATCGGGCAGCCCCCACCGCACCAATTTTACGAGTGAATAATGTCCCCGAATGAAATTGTAAGGATATGTCCTCGGTAATTTGCCAAGACAAGGATGGCAAGAGGGCAAAAAATTAGCCGAGAGAAAAAAAAGGACAGAAGAAAATTAAGCCGGATTAAACGTTGGGAAGATGACAGACTTAATAATAATGCCGTCCTGGCTAAATTCATCCCCCGAATTAAACCTGAGAGATTCCTCCACGTTTTTAATCTACCTCCACGGTTTTTTACTAGCTGTGTTTAATAATTCGACATAATTTACAAGGAGACGAAGATATCGCCATTAATCGTTTATCAGACAAACCACAAGTTAAAACTTAAAAGTTTAAATTAAAAATAATGAAAATTCTACCACCCGGATTTCACTCCCAACAAACTAGTCAATTTAGAACACATCAAAGCGAGAAGGATTTTAAAAAAGGATTTTTCAATTTAAACACCTTCACTAAGTGTTCAGAATTTAAAATTATCATGAATATATGTCCACGTCAAAAAGTCGACCTGTGAAATTTTAAGCAATTTATTTTTTTATAAAGTCACATTTGCCAAATTGTATTAAGGTTTTTTTTTATATTTGGTTTATAACCAAGGGTTTTTAATTTTTAAATTTACTAGTATATTCTCAAATAAGAGAACACTGCCCATCCTCGTAAATTTATTGACGATATCTGAACCAAAACTGTCAGGGAATATCGCCACTTTTCGCTACACACCTTGGCCCACTACTTACTGGAAAAATAAAATAAAAAACGAGTAATCCTCAACTTTTTATAAAGAAGATTCTATGTCTGTGATCTAACCAGAACATCTCTCAACCTTTTAGACATACTGACCGTACCTGAATTATAACTGACAGGGAATATCATAACTATTCGCTGCACACCTTCACCCATAAAACAACAACCCCATACTGGAACAACATGAAGTAAAAAAGTGCTATTCCCGACTTTCCAGAAATAAAACTTTATGTCTATGATTTAATGAGAAAAACTCTCATCCGCTTAAACTCATTGACGGTATGTGGACCGAAACCGACAGTGAATATCACAACTATTCGCTACAAACCTTGACCTGCAGTGTCCACCATACAGGAACAGCTTAAAAAGGGTCATCCTCAACTTTTCATAAACAAGATATATCTATGATCTAATAACCTCCAAAATTCTATCTCAGTTTCCTCACAAGTAGTAATTAATATCCCTTATTTTTAATCCTAGCCGTCCTTAGTACCCATCATTCCTTTCCTATGGAATTCTTCAATTCGTACGATCCACAAGCTTAAAAAAGCATCAACATCATTCATCAACAATTTCGCTTCCCTAATTACCACTCTGAATACGCCAAAATCATCTTGTTATAAACTTCATCGAAATATTCCCGATGTGTTAGCAGTTCTGCCTTGGAGTATTTTTATATCGTGATTGGCACCATAGCTGTAACTCATTTTTTTGAACACATCTAAAATCCTATCTGATCGTACCTTTCATGTTACTTACCAAACCTCAACCTCTCCGATTCATTATATCCTGTGTTCGTCAAGGGAGCATCCTAGGTCCGTTACTTTTCAGCATATACTGAAGTATGAGTACATACTCGTCCTTCCCTCGACACTCTAACACATTCACATTTGCTGACGATATATAAATCCTCTCTGCCAACCTCAATCCTTTCCTAGCAGTTCGATACCTCCTTACGCTAGAACCACAGTTCCATACATTAAGATTAAAAATAAAAACAAATCCTATTTTGTGTCCTTTAGATCCATATGCTTTTACATCTTCATTTGGGAACATCCGTCACACTTCATCAGTCTTGAGTTTCTAAAATGTACAAAATTATATCCAAATTTCCAAACGTATATATACATAAATAATAAAATTGCATATAGAAAAAAAGGCATTGAATGAATTATTGAACAAAATCTTCAATATTGCAAAGCTAAAATAATTGTTAACACAATTAAATTTGATAATAGCTGAATGTTATGATCTTTTTGTGATTATAAGTGGGGAAAATAAGAATGAAATTTTTAAAAAACTTTGTCATTGTTTTAATTTAGCTATCCAGTTCTAATTTATTTCCAGAGACTAAGATTTATCACAATTAGTTTAATTTTAAAAATTCTGAATTACATGAAGTTTCATGTAGATCTGTAGTCGTTTTAAAGTTATCAATATTTTCGATTATAAAAAAAAATCAAAAAACTCCAGCCCCTCGTTTTCCTTGCTTGTTTTATTGAATATAGTTAGATGTTTTATTTAAATTTTCCAACTAATTAATTTTTATTAATGGCTATGCATTTCGGGGCTCAGTTTCCTGCCCCCTCATCAGTCCGTTTTTGGAGGTCAGACCTTACTGGTGCAGTGCAATAAAAAGGCCTAGCTATATTTTTTAAATTACTTATATCAGCTAAAATATTTTTTTTTAGTTTCTAAGATTTTTCGATCAAGTATACACAAACAGAGTTTCAATAGAATAGTTGATCTCACGTTCGTGCTTTTATCATTTATCATTTACCATTTGTCTTTGGTATTTTAATAAAATTAACCTAATTTGACAGGTATTCACTTTAACACTCAATAAAAATAAGAAGTGAATAAAATTTCATTTGAAAAAGGAGAACAGGTTTAATTAAAAATATTTTTGCTACATAACTATAAAAAAATACCAAATAAACCATGTAAATTCGTCTTGAAACTGTTCAAAAGAATTAACCTAATTTGACAGGTATTCACTATAAAACTTAATAAAAGTAAGTAGTGCATAAAATTTCATTAGAAAAGGGAAAAAAGGTATAATTAACAAAATATTTTTTCTACACAACTATAAAAAAAATACCAATTAAACCATATAAATACATCTTGAAACTGTTCAAAAAAATTAGCCTAATTTGGCAGGTATTTACTTTGAAACTTAATAAAAGTAAGAAGTGTATAAAACTCCATTAGAAAAAGGAGAAAAGGTTCAATTAACAAAATATTTTTTCTACACGATCATAAAAAAATACCAAATAAACCATATAAATACCTCTTGAAACTGTTCAAAAAAATTAACCTAATTTGGCAGGTATTTACTTTGAAACTTAATGAAAGTAAGAAGTGTATAAAATTCCATTAGAAAAAGGAGAAAAGTTTTAATCAACAAAATATTTTTTCTACACATCCATAAAAAATACCAAATAAATTATATAAATACGTCCTGAAATTGTTCAAAAAAATTAACTTAATTTTACAGGTATTCAATTTGAAACTTAATAAGAGTGAGAAGTGTACAAAATTCAATTAGAAAAAGGAGAAAAGGTTTAATTAACAAAATAGTTTTTCTACTCAACCATAAAAAATACCAAATAAACCATATAAATACGTCTTGAAACCGTTCAAAAGAATTAACCTAATTTGACAGATATTTACTTTGAAACTTAATAAAAGTAAGAAGTGTATAAAATTCCGTTAGAAAAAGGAGAGATGTTTTAATTAAGAAAATATTTTTTACACAACCATAAAAAATGACATGTATAAATACTTCTTGAAACTGTTACCTTGTAAAATCTAAAAATGGAAATTTTATCCTCTGTAATCGTGGGATTTTCAGTGGATTTGCAAAAGAAATAAAGGGCTGACGGATGTCTTGGTCAAATAAATAACCCTAAATGTCATTTCTGTTTCCACAGTATGATTTTACATTGCACCAGAACATGAAAATCCCCCGTACTGTATCGTCTTAATATTTTATCCTTACGAGTACAGACTATGCCTGTAGTAGCCTAGACGATCCTTAACATATGTCATCCTCTTTCCACGTAGGAGCTTCCGAAGTTAATACCGAAGGGTGGTGAGAAAAAGCCCAGGAGGTGAGATCTGCGGCGCTGTGACCCGGTGACCTACATCCCTCGGATCGAGTCCGTCCCACAAGCCCGTCTCGATTTATGTTTGTGAACGGACAGTTAACGATCCCGGGAACGATTAAATTGTAAAAGGGCGTCGGACTTTTTCCCATTCCCCCCTGGCAAAAAGTGTTCAAAGGGGAAACGTTACAAACTCGCGGAAATTGGATTTTCGCCGTGCGCGTTTTTCTTTGCACAATATTTTGTTTAAATCTACAACAATTTCCCTTTATTTTCCTTGTTTTATAAGCTAAAATGTTCGGTTTTTAAAATATACGTATAAGTTTTATGTTAAAAACAAACTTTAAAAAAATTCATAAAATGCAGAAACCACAGAGATATTACAAATCTAAAAATAGTTGACAATCTTTTTTTTAAATTAAATTAATTGAGTTGATCTATTTTAGAAAAGTATAATCTGCCAAAAAAAAACTCTTTTCTTTTAAACTTTCAGACTGAAACTGAAGAAGGGCTAAATTTAAAATTTGTTAAGTCGAAATGTTTATATTAAAAAAAATAAACAAAGAATAATTGTTAAACGGTCCAGAAAGATAAACACCAGCTTACTTTCTTTACAATATAATGAGAGCAAACATGCTTATTTATTTTTTCAATATTGAAACGTTTCGATTTCATAAAATTCACCTTGTGAAAATTTGAACTATAGATTCTCCAAGCAAAAACTGCTCACTTTTTTGAAATGGCAGTTTTTTAATAAATATAATTAATAATAAGAAATTAAACTTTATTTATTTGAGAGCATATAGCTATTTGTATATGTTCATGTTACAACATAAACAGGTAAACGTGAATAAATTTAGTATGGCTGAACTACTCACAGCAGATCTTACAGATCTGTCAAGATTCAGCAGAGACTGTTTAAAAAAATACTACCTCGAGATTTTAAATCCTCAAAATCAGAATCTAATAGCGAAAAGGTCTCCGTGTCCAGTAAGTAAATTTTATAGAGCCCAAAAGTGTAAATAGAACTTTCCTCCTACCAGGTTTATATTTTGAGATAAATCTACAGCGAAAACGTACCCCCGCCCCACTTAATTGACTTTGCTTTGATTCACTCTGTAGATAGGACAAAATATCTCTGTATTGTGTACAGGGGCCAAAACCCGTACAAAGATAATAGGAGTATCTCTGTGAGTTCAAGAAGATAGCCGAAGACAACTAGAAACTAGCCCCATGGGAGTTAATCAAACGTAGAACCTGAAAGTAGAACCTTAGAATTTTTTCTCCCTCGTTCCAGAATTCCAGAAAACGGGCCTTTAACCAAAATCTCCTTTGGACCCAACTTTCCCCCCAGTGTGTTAAAAAACTGAAACTTTTTTCAAAATACTCAGTAAGAGGGAAAAGATTCTTTCAAATTTTGCAACCAGCGTACTAAAAGTGTTTGTTTTTTATATTATAAACTTTGAGGATCAAACATATCTGGATCTTTTTAACAAAACAAAATTTGCTATATTTTTTAATTTTATGGAATTATAATAAATGTTATTTTTTATAACTTATATCAGTGTAAATAAAGCTCGCCGTACACCCAAATAGCTTGATTCTCTTTAAATTGTTTCACATATTTTAAATAATTTATACCAATCATTGGGCAGCAATGAAAATAAAACTGAGGAAATAACCATCATACGTTGGACTCGTTTAAAAGTTAAAGACGATATCTGACTGATAAACCTACGAAATAATTACTTTTAAAAAATAACTTAAAAGAGTTTTATTCTAAACTATATTCTTTATTAAATTCATTAGATTTCGTGGTCCGAATTACCAAATAACATATTTCAATTAATTAATCTTTTTGTAAGGTATTGGTTGAGTTAAAAAAGTCAGTGTCACGAACGGGATTCGAACCCACCACCTTTGGCTAAATACGCCGCTGCTCTACCACTTGACCTATAGTGATTTCGAACTACTGCATTAAAATTTATATTAAAATCGTAAATGATTCGATGATGCGTTCGAGCAACATCAAAAATCCTCGAGTGTACACGGACCCAGAGCAGGTTCAACATTATCGATTTTATTCCATTTATGTTTTAATGGTCAATTGACCAAGTTAATTCTTTCAATAATTCGTTTTAGTCCTTTTATGTAAGGTCTTGGTTGAGTTAAAAATGTCAGTGTCACGAACGGGATTCGAACCCACGACCCTCGGTTAAATACGCCGCTGCTCTACCAATTGAGCTATCGTGACTTCGATCCCCTCGGACACTAACGAGAATCCGGCTCGTGACATTGACGTTTATATCTCAACAAATACCTTACATAAATATTACTTAATCGAAATATGTTATCTGGTCAATCGGACCACGAAATCTAATGAATTTAATAAATTAAATGAAGTATATCTTCACTAAAGCTCTCCGTGGCCATTTCATTTCTCGCCGAGAATCGAATCCTGCTCACACGACATTCGAAAAATGGCAAAAAGTGGTAAATGCGAAAGGTTTTAGGTTGAGATGGAGAGTGGGTGTCTGAGTGGATCGAAGTGACGATAGCTCAAGTGGTAGAGCAGCGGCGTATCTAGCCGAAGATCGTGGGTTCGAATCCCGCTCGTGACACTGACTTTTTTATCACAACCAATACCTTACATAAAGATTAAATAATTGATATATTCTTTATATTTCAACTGATTGTTGTTTATTTTAAAATTAAATGGAAAGACAAAACCCTACTATGTTGATTTTCTGACACTTGTTTAATTTTTCTTATATTCTATTTTAAATCTGGCAAATATGCTTTAATTATATATATTTAAATTCATAATTGTTTCAAATACGTCTAAATGCATCTATTAATAATGCGTGATTAATTAACTAAACCACACTTCAAACTACCATCGAACATCTGAAACATCAATAAACCAACACTTCTTTATAATTTATTGAAATAATAACTTGTTAAAATAGTTTTACATAAATCAGCCCATAGGCAATATTAGAGATGAACGAATACGAGAAAACAGGTTTACGAGGGTAGGGAGAAAACCAACAGATACCTTATCTTAATAAAATGAGTCAATATGAAATATTTCTATTGTTTCAACTCAGTTATTGTCATAAGCTGGCATGACCTTTCGTAACTCTGTGTTTATTGAATCTCCATTTAATAATACGTTCCTTCAGGATCTTAGGAAATTCTTGCTGAAATGCTTTTTTTATTATAAAGCACAAAGGCTTGTCTGACTGTTGATTTATAAGTAAGTAAACCTGCTTTTAGTTTTTTTTTAATTAATTCAGCCAAGATTTTTACTTTAATATTTAGCGTTTCAGTAACGTTCAAACATAGTGCATTTGCATAAAAAGTTTAAACCTTTTTTTTATTATTTTCGTATAAGAAAACTTAGATTGAATATGGTTTTTTTTTTTTTTTGTAAAAAAATTATGACGAGGTTTTTATTTAAATAGAGAAATAGAGAATTTTTTTAACTTAATTCCTATTGGTTTTATTAAAGGAATTATTTTTCTAAAATTGCCATAACAGACTATGGCTAAAAATTACATATTTATGATTGTTTTGCAGTTGGAACTTTAAAAAATTTAACTTTTTTTTATCAGTTTCATAAAGGTCAAAAATTTTGAAATGTTAAACAGTTTTTAAACTTACAGAATTTTCTGAGTGTAGAGTGACGAGAAAAAAAGGGTTAAAACGTTGACAATTCACGCGTTGTGGCAGTCACTTCTTTTTAAATAGTGAGTGATGTTAGAACTGACACGTTTCAAACGTCCACTTCCTCTTACTTCATATTTGTTTATTTTGACTTTTCAATATACTAGTTTATTTGAGAAGTTTGTTAATTCTCATTTATGGATATCTTGTTTTAATCTATATAGAGTGAACAGTCTTGTTAAAAAGAAGAACAGTGACGTTCGATTTTTTTTTCTTCAGGAAAGGATTTTATCATTAAGATAAAATTAATAACGTAACAGAACAAATAAATCTATATTTCGACAAAAATATGTATAAATTATTTTGAATTTTGTAAAAATAAAATTATTATTTGCTAGGCAGTGATATGTAAATAATTTTTAGTAGTAATACTGAAGGCGGTATGGGATTTGCGATCGAAGGGTTGAAAGAAAAATTTAAATAAAACATAATACCAGTCTTGTAAAATTGATTTCTGTCAACTGTATTTGCTGTGATCTATTTATAAGAAATAACAGATCTGTAAGCAGGAAGGCATCGTTGTTGGTAGGTCGTGATGTAGGAAGTGCAAGAAGAAGGAAAATGTCAGCGTTACTGTCTCTATTGCATCGTGGATTCACTACTCGACGATATTTATTGAAACGAGGGTGGCCCTTTTGGCAGGTCTGATGACACAGGCACAAGCGACGGGGAAGGTCTCGTTCCTGGTGAGCCCGGAGTTGGGGTACGTGACGCTGATGACCGAAGTCAGCTCCATGCAGGTCGACACCTTCTCCTCGTTGAAAACACAATGATCACCCGCAGAATGGCATTTCACGACCTCGATGTAACTCGGCACTCTGAACTGGTTGAAGTTGTACTTGAGGTCGTAAGGGCAGCTGGACTGGTTCTGCGCCTCGTACAGGGACGTCGAGTACCTGTAATGGAGCGGAAGAGGTGACGGCCAAGCGGAGCTGATAAGAATTAAAAATAAAAATCCAAACATTTTAATAGACTCTACTCCTAGATTACTATGGGCCACCTGAACTGCGAAGGATGATAGGCAAGTGGCGGAGTCCAGGTTTATACCAGTCACGCCCCCTCCAATTCCCTGGAAAATCAACGCAAACCTACTTCCGTTTAAAACACAACCTTTATTCTCTTTGCTGTGATTTTGACGTCAGACATTTTTCGGATCGACGCGCATAATAATGCACGATTCAAATAAAAAATAATAATTAAAAACTTTATGCATAAAAAAAGCCTTCGGGTGGACATATTCAGAGCAATTATGTTTCACATCCACATCAATTTTAAACTAATAACAATTTAATAAATTCCTATAATAAACAAGGTTGTACACACACTAAAATTATGTTTTATATATGGGCATAAAAATAAATCAATCATCTACAGTTTGCACTATCTACAATATCTCAAATCTCAAAATATACGTTTTCCAGTTCGAAACAAGAAAATGTTACAAAATTTTATTTAGCGTTAAATTGGACATGGATAGACTNTACAAAAACAAAAATCCTTTTCCAGTAAGTAGGTCAGAAATTAAAAATTTTGAAAAATACAATTCAAATTTGTTGTAAGCTCTCTTTAAAGCCTTTAAATGTGAATTGTTATAGTAAATATGAATATAGAAAAAAATAGACATTTTTGGACTAGAACCTGTTCAGTTTTTTCTTCGATGTTTGTAGACCCACATAAAAATTCATAATGTTTTTGCATTTTATACAAATTCAACGTTATGACAACCCTTATAAAGCAGAATATTTCTTCTTTCAGCCTAGGGTCAACAATTTTTAAATTTTATTTTATTACAAAATAACATGGCAGGATTGTCTTAAATGAGATTTAGATAAATAAATACTTACAAAAACCAAAATCCACTTCTAGTAAAGAAAACCAAAAATTAGTTTTTCAAAAATACAATTCAAACTTGTTCTAAGTTCTCTTTTTAAAGCCCTTAAATATAAATTGTTATATTAAATATGAATGTAGCGAAAAGTAGACATTTTTGAGCTAGATCGGGTTCAGTCCTTCTATATTTGTAGATCTATTTAAAAATTCGTAACTTTTTTGTATTTTATACAAATTCAACGTTAAAACCCTTGTAAAGCTGATATTTATTCTTTCAGCCTACGTCAACAATTTTTAAATTTTATGTCATTACTAGCAAAAAATAAAGATGAAATCAACAAAATCTCTTCAAAAGTTTTATTTTTTTAATCTTAGGTATTAAGTTATTTACGTATACTAGGTTCATTCCACTAAGTGTAATTTATAGACTTTTAAACCACTATAAAATTTCATGTATATCAGTGGAGTAGTTTCAAAGTTATCACAATTTGTGATTTTTTAAATAAAAAATTGAGGAAAATTTGAGAATTTTGTTTAATTTCTCAAAAAGTTATAATCAGGGTGTTTTTTGGAGGGGGGTTAGATTCAGGAAACGAATATCAATTGGTTTTTTGCTAAAAAAAATATTTTAGCCTACTTTGCTACGGCGTGCAGTGACACAGAATGTATTGCATTTCAATATCTACTAGAAAAATACTATGGCTAGTTGCCAAATACACTTTTGACCTAGTTGCATCAATAACGGTCTCATCAAATATTGCCATCGTTGTAATAAAAACAACTTGATTTCGTCTCTCTCATTAGTTTCAAATATTATGCCTCAAATCCCCTATTGATTGGAACAAAACCTGATCCAGTCGACCTCACAAATCACAAACAGTAAATTACGAAGTAAGTTGAAAGTTTCAAACTGAATTTGGCAATATTAGGACAAAACATGATTTCATTAATCTTACAACTCTCGAATAGTTTCAAATCCCATACTGGACGGACAAAAGCTAGAATAAAACTGATTTGATCAATGTCAAAGTCGCAAAATGTAAATGTTCACACTGAATTTGGCAATATTATGGCAAAATATGTCTCAGAAAAATTGTTCTCCCTTGACTCTGATGGATCGTAAAATAATGACATAACAATACGCGTAATTTTATAAAAATTGATTGGGCATTATAATTTAAATTTAATATAATAATAATAAAATACAGAGGCGACAGTGGCCGCAACGGTTTAGGCGTTGACACGGCGCTCATCACTGTAAGGTAAAGGTCTCGGGTTCGAATCCAGCGGCCCTGCATTCGAACCCGACTTACTTACAAATGGGCTTTTTTCAAAAACACCGGCTCCCTGAGAGTTGATATGGCCTCTGCTGTTTCGAACCCTCGTAAAAAAAAAATAATAAAGGCACTTTATTTTTTATAATCCAAATTAAATTACATCTACTAAATAAGTACGGCATAGAAAATTCCGTCTGCCGGAGATGAATGAAAGCATAAAAAGGTTAAAAAAATGTGCAGAATAATACAAACTTTGAATTTTAAAAAAAACTTCCAAAGAACTTAAAAAACAAGAAAATGAACCATAAGCCAAAAAAGTGATTAGCAAAAATAAGAACAATAATAAAGAAAGCAAATTGAAATTAAATTATACAAACACTAAATATTCATTTCATTGACATAAAACTATTGCCATGCATGTCTACAAAATCCTATAAGTGAAGTTAGCTCAAAGTTTAACTTGTTAATTAATCAGTCTCGGAATTGGGAACCGCAGCCTAGGTGGAACACGCGGATTTCATTTAAGATTGTACATTGTGCAATGAAATGGAACACATCCTCTCTGACCTTAGAGTTACATAAAGTGCACGATGCAGAGAACCCCTCCGACCAGGGGGTGTAATTTAGCCAAAGCAGTTCACATCTCATTTTAAACAACCACCCTAGGTCATTTAGATTTGCGTACTGATTAGACTCAGACATGAGGTCACAGTGAGAAACAATGATCAAGATCCCTATTAAACAAAGAGCTACTGGATGCCAGAGCTAGCCTCACAGAATCCTCTCCATGACGAGTACACATTGCTCTAAGGAGAGAGTCAAAACTAGTATTCCATTTGGGCATATTAAGGTTTAAGTTATGAGGGATGGAAAATTTGAAAAATACTGCATGCCAGTGGGAGTACCAGCAACTGTTGTGTGTTATTACCTCTAGAGCAGTGATTTTAGGAAGTCAAAAGTCAAGAAGTGGAAGAATTTTCAGGATATGCTTAATATAAAGCTTCAATGTAGATAAGATCAGCAGATCCATGGATGTTTCTAAGTACAAAATATAGTTAGGGATTGAAGACGGTCGGCCAAAAAACTTTTAGACTTCAGAAATTTCTCGACTATGTCGTACTTTTGACAGTTCAAAACTTGGCAAGCATAGAGTAACACAGTTTCGCTCTCAGTAGAATCTTTCAATTAATTAATCATTATGTAAGGTATTGGTTAAGATAAAAAAATCAGTATCACGAGTGGGATTCGAACCCACGACCTTTGGCTAAATACGCCGCTGCTTTACCACTTGAGCTATCGTGACTCCGATCCACTCGACTTCCCATCTCAACCCAACCTTTCGAATTTTCCCTCCTTTTTGCCATTTTTCATTTTCAGTAGAATGTTATTATTTAACATTAGGGAAACCCAAAATTGATTAATCCTATCTTAGCTGTAGATGATACCAGCTTCAAATTGAAGTAAAGAGTAGGCGTAAGAGTAACTCCAAGATATTTATAATGGTACCAGTAATACATTGTAAAAAAAATTGGGCAAGTCTGCCACTCTAATAATGAGCACCTTAGATTTGGCGTGGTTAACAGTCAAATTCTATTTCTTCTAAAAATTTTATGTTTATATTTATTCTGCAAACCCACTCTTTCATCCTTTAAAAACAACACATCATCAGCTTATAGTAAAGCTATAACCTTAATAGAAATGATTGGCATTGGAAATTGTCAAAGATGGTTGTTTGAACTTTTTAGACCTAAAACTGTCCATAATAACTAACCTGTTAGAACTAGACGTATATAGAAAACCCACAACTACAGACACTATGATACCAGCGGATTCTTCCCACCTATGGTCCCAAAAGGTTGCTGGTTTCATTTGGCTCATAGACCGGATGTTAAAACTTCCGCTAACACCTGATAACTATAATAAAGAATTAAAAACTATTAAAACCTTAGCAAAAAACAACAGGTGTCAAGAAATATTTATTGATAGGTTGCTGGTTAAAATAATAAAAAAATTAACTTTAAACGAATCAACAATAGGACTCAGCCACCCCACCACAAATGAATCATTAGGTTTCCGTTGTTTGCCATACATTGGTGAATTATCGGAAAAAGTAAAATTTTTAAACAAGAAGGTTTTAGAATAGCTTTTAGAAGTACGGGTTCACTTAAAAACATCCTCTCAAAACCTAAAGACAAAGTAGACAAAAAGCGGGGTTTACCAACTCAATTGTAATGATTGTGATATTAAATATATAGGACAAAGCGGTAGAGAAATAAAAACAAGAGTAAAAGAACACTTGCCTAAATCGAGCAAATTTTCGGAATTTAAGGACCATCTAAAAGAAACAAAACATAATTTCAATTCAAATTTAAATACAAGAGTGTTACATAGTTTCAACAAAGGGAAAGAACTAGATTGGTTTGAGAAATTTGAAATTAAAAAATGTAAAATTGAACATGGTGATAAATGCATTAATAATATAACAGATTTTGATCTACCTCCCATTTTAAATATGTACATAAATAATATCAAACATCCAAATAATTAAACTAATTTATTTTAATTGTTATTATTTTTATAGTAATTTAATAATATTAAGTATTTACTGGTATAATATTTATTTGTGTTATAATTTCCGCGTTTCGCACGTTCAAATTGAGCGCCATTAAAACAATCAGCTGCTAATTGGAAAGTCGCATTGGCGGAGGTATCAGCGGGTTCACTTTGGGACGTGGTTGTAGAAGTCCTTCAACCTGATGATGAGCTAAAAGGCTCGAAATCCGGATCGT